ATCGGTCTACACCGCCCCCCTCACGCGACTCCGAAACACATCGCCCGTTTGTCACAAACCCGCTCTCTGGGGAAGAGGGAACCGCATGTACCTAATGTGGGAACGCCGTGAAATGCGGTTCCACGCCCCGTTTTGTACACGTCACGTTGGAAGAGCCTTGGTCACGTTCGGCAGGATGCACACGTCTGCATGCACACGGCACGCCCGGACTTAACCCCACCACCGTGCTCTGTAGATCCCCAGAGCGCCATAAAGAAACAGCTCGGGGCGCCTGGGGGGCTCAGTCACTTAAGCATCTGACTCTTGGCTTTCGGCTCAGGTCATGATCTCGCGGCTCAGGAGATCGAGTCCCGCGTGGGGCTCCGTGCTGACAGCTCAGATCTCGCGGTTCATGAGATCGAGTCCCGCGTGGGGATCTGTGCGGACAGCTCAGAGCCTGCTTGGGGTTCTCTCTCCCTCTCTGCCTGCCCCTCCCCTGCTCACACTGTCTCTGACCCGAGCCCAAGTCTGACGCTCAACCGACCTAGCCACCAGGCGCCCCTACGTTAGGAATTTACGTTTATCAACAGCATCTCCATGAAAGCTTTGCTACTGTCCACTGGGTTGCCCCGTATCGAGTTGGAACGGATTTGAGAAACTGAGGCACGTCTTCAAGGTCAGAGAGGGAAGAGACCGCCGTGAACCCGGAACAGCCCAGGCAAAATTATCTCTGAGCCGCCACATGCCAGCCCGCCACTGTGCAAACAAGCATTTCCCCTCCATTGCCTTCTGTTGGCTTTTCCTTTAAATTTTGGCCTTAAGTACCAAGCGTGCCCTACGCTGGGCCAGCACATAGGCGTCCCCTAGCCTGTAATCACACACACACACACACACACACACACACACACACACACAGTCTGCCCAGAAGGAAAATCACCTGACTATCAACACCCTTAACTTCACCCGAACACACTCACGTGCACTTCGACACACACCCACCAGCCACGGATTCACACACAGACCGACGCTTTCCAAATCCACTGCTTTGGAAACAAACTGTGGACCCAGAACCTGTGAATACACTCCCATCGCCTCCCCCCACACAGCCCCCTCCAGGATTCAACGATGCCCAGTGTTGGCCGGCACGGCGCGGGCACCCAAGGGACACCGGGTCTCAAAGATCAGCTCTTCCCCCAAACACAATCAACGGCCTTGTGTGGAATTTGGGCACGCTTCCTACGACGGTGGAAAAAAAAAAATACGGGTTTTAGCCTTTAAAGTCAAGCAATTGGATTACGTTAGGCAGTCGAGGCCAGAGAAAACACCGTCCAAAAACACTCAGGAAAGAAGATCACGCTGCTGTAGACGATGCTGGACCCATCCCAGCTTCCTCTAGGATTGGCCGAAACTCGTAGTGCATTCAGGAAAATACGCCATGTCTTCCGTACACTGAGGTGTAGACGGATGTTGGCCGGGGGTCCACACCGAATGCTGCGTGGCCCGTGGCCCACGCACGCTCAGCCCCACGATCGGACAGGAAGATACCCTTTGTTTTCAAGGGTCATGCAGGACATGGTGGTCACAGGGGACCTTCCCCGCCCCCACCCGTCCCCCGGCTTCCGTGCCCCGAACCCGGGGCCTCGTCCTCCGAGCTTTTCTAAACACAGTTGTGCTCAGATGAAAACCAGCCCAATACACTCTCGTGCCTTCCCTCCTGTGAAGAGACAATCTCTGATCCCTTTGCTCCAAGAAGAACATTTATTCTTTCCCTTCCAACCCGAAGGAAAGCGCGTGGCCCCTCCCGCCCCCCGTGGCCCCCTCCCTGACTGCCTGCACCCCTCAATGCCGCAGCTGAAGCCGGTGCTCTGCACACACCTCGCACCTGCCAGCCGCGCGTCCTGAGTTGACCCTACAATCCTCCAACGGCCCCATGATCCGCAGTTTCACAAACATTTCCGACCCGCCCTGAGGGCACGCGAACTCATCGACACCCACTTTGCAAGGACCTGACCGGGATTCTCAGGTTGCTTTGCAAACTCGGGTCACAGGGCACAGACTCACGAGGCGACTGCGGACCCACCATCCACACAGCAGCGTCGAGCCGCACGCAGGAGTCGTTGCTGCCCCCTGATTTCTGCTTTAAGAACCCAAAGTCATGCACTTCGGGAAAAGCCCATGACCTGAAATGCCGCCTTGGTGCGGCCGGGCTCAGGAGGCCCCTGACGAATGCAGACCCGGAGGAAGTGAGTTTCCCGGAGCAGGACTGCATAGCATGCGGACAACACAGAGTGCCGGGTGTGGCCCAAGGCGTGGGGGCTTGCAGACCAAGCCAGGCGCGTGGGTGGCCCTCAGGGCCTGAGCCTAAACGCAGTCAGGGTGCAGGCAGGAATCGGGAAGAAATCCGCACGGGGCAGGCCGCGTCCGAGGCTGGCCGCCGGGGCGCAGCGCGCGCATTTCAAGGCGGGCGGGCGGCAGAGGTCAGTGCTGACCTTCGCACGCATTGCGTTACTTCCCTTCCCTCCTAAGGCTGCTCGGGGGACAGGAACCAGCTTCCAGGATGGCCACGCAGGCCACGCAAGAGACACGGACCAGCTCAGGTGCGCCGACTCGGGTCTGGAAGACGGTGACTTCGGGGAGCCCCCCCCCCGGACACCGAAATCCAGTCCATCCGGGAAGCTCAGGCTTCTGAAGCATTTCCTCGGACGCCTGCCTTTCTGGGTGGCCCATCGTCCACGGGTCCTGCGGTGTCCGGTTTAACGCACAAGGTCAGCAACGGCGGCCCTGCGGCCTGGCCTGCGCCTGACGCACAGAAACCGCGCGTGTGCACACGTGAGTGTGAGTGTGCACGCACCGGCCTGATGCTGAAACGCAGGTAACCAGCCCATTCTCCCTGTTCTCTCCTTCTTCCGACCCGTGAACAGCTACCGGCTGCGGGTGCAGGTTCAGCCCCCAACGACCAGCTGGGAGCCTGCGAGAAGGGACGGCGTCGCGGCCGACGCGGACAGCTCATGGCCGATTCCGTCACGTCCCTGCACACGCGTCTATGTGCTGAGGACGCCGCAAAGCCCCCTGAGTGCACGCCCCCTGGGCTGGCTCCTTCCACCCGCAAGGACCTTCATGCACCCATTTCTTCAAGCCGCCCCGGTCACAGACGGAGGAGACAATGAAAAGCCCCTTCGAGCTGCTTCTGGAGGCTGGGAGCTGCTGAGGGGCCCCGCTGGGAATGGGGTCCCTCCTTCCTGTCACGCATGGTGCGGGGAGAGCCGGTCTCAGTGCACGCTTCGGGCAGCAGGCCTGGCTCCGGCGCTGACCTCCTCTGTCCCGGCCCAAAGCAGCCCCCACATCAGGACAGGCGTGGGGAGACCTCACTGAGCCTGGGTCTGAGGGGCTGCGGATTCCCTGCATCAGACCTTTGGGAGCCAAGCTCTGAAGGTCACATACGAACCGTGCACACCTTAGGGAGTCCCGGGCTCACACAGGGGAGGCTGCGACCCCCGCGTTCTCGAAGGGCATCAGGGAGGGGTCGATGGGGTCATGTTTGCAGGCTCTGTCCGCCGCGCACTGGGTGGAGGCGGCAGCTTGGGTCAAACCCGGCGGCGCAGCCCCTGGTCACTGGCGCTGCGGCGGGACGTGGGGAGTCAGGAATGGGCCTGGGCCTGGGTCTCGGCGGGACGTGGGGAGACAGGAATGGGCCTGGGCCTGCGTCTCGGCGGGACGTGGGGAGTCAGGAATGGGCCTGGGCCTGGGTCTCGGGGCGAGGCTGTGGCCACGGTTCCCGGCCCTGCGCGCCCAGACCCCGAGGCTCCCTGCGCGCCCAGCCCGGTGGGTCCCCAGGAATTCCGCGGCAGCCTTTGGGGGTCCCTCGGCCTCCCGAGTTCACTGACTGCCCTGCGCCAAGGCCCCCGGGCGTCAGCCCAGAATGCAGCCCAGTGTGGGAGGCAGGGGTGTGTGTGTGTGTGTGTGTGTGTGTGTGTGTGTGTGAGGGGGGCGGAGGGATGCAGGCGGGGCCGAGCTCCCTGCGCGCGTCCCCATGACCGAGGATGCAGGCTTGGGGACACCTGTGTACGGGGGGGCGGGGGCGCTTCCCGGGACCCCTGCCCGGCTCCTCCGGTGCTTCCTCCAGACCGCGGAGCCCCCTTCCCCGTATGGAAGCCCCGCCTCGGGGTCCGCGCTGCCGCTGCCCCTGCGCCCCGCGTCGGCGCGCAGCCCCCTCCGCAGGAAAGGGCAGGACGGGGTGCGCCGGGGCGCCCGCGCGCCCCCTCCCCAACCCGGCCCTTCCTCCGTAACCACCGCGCAGCGCGCCCGCCGCGGCGTCAGGGGAGGGGGCTCCGGGCAGCCGAGCGCAGGGGACCCCCGAGCGGGGACGCGGGCGCCGGCCACGCTCCCACGCCGCCAGGGCCCCCCCCCCCCCCGGCGAGCGCGGGGCGCAGGGGTCGCGCGTCGGAGCCCCGCCCCGCGCTCGCCCCCGCGCCCCCCGCCGCCCGCGTTCGGCCGCGCGCTGCGCCCCGCGGGGCCGGTTCCACCTGTCACCGCGCGCCCGCCGCCGCCCAAGTTCGCGGGGACTTGGCGGGCGCGCCGCCTCCGCCTCCCGCCCGCGCCCGCGTCCTCGCCCATGGCCGCCGCCCCCGCCCGCCCGCCGCCCGCGCCCCCCGCGCCGCCCGCCCAGCCCCGCGGCCGCCGGGCCCGGTGAGCCAGCAGCGCGGCCGACGCGGGCGCCCGTCCCCCGGCTCGGAGCACTGCGGATGCGGCGCGGGGCCGGCGCGGGGCTCCGGGCGCGCTCGGGGGTCGTGAGCGCCGCGCCCCGCGCCCCCGCGCGCCCCCCGCCCGCCCGCGCGCCCCGCCGGGGCCATGCAGTCGCTCATCTCGCCGGTGACCAAGGCGATCCTGGTGGCCCTGTTCATCTTCGCCATCCTGCTCATCCTGTACGTGATCCTCTGGTACATCTGCCGCGATGTGGACTGCGACCACGGCATCTGAGCGCCCCCGCCGCGCCGGGCATGGGGGCCGCGCGCCCCCCGCCTCGGGCCCCGCCGCGCGCCCGCCGCCGCCGCCGGGCCGTGACCTTCAGGGACGGAGCGCGCAGAGCGGGTGAGTGCACGCGGCCGGGGAGCCGCAACTTCGGCGTGGCGCGGGGCGCGGGGCGCGGGACGGCGCCCCCGACCCCGGGGTGGGCGCTGCGCCCCGGCTCCCCGAGGGGCGCACGCAGGTCGGCGGACGCGGGGCGCCGCGGCCCCGGGGACACCCCTGCGCCGCGCGGCGGGCGGCCGGCGGGGGCCCGCGGCGGGGGGCGCGCGGTGCCTGACCCCGGGGCGCGGCCGCCCCCCGCCCCCCCGCGGGCCGCCCCGCGCGGCCGAGCGCAGCGCGGGGGGGGGGGGCGCATCCGCACCGCCGCCGCCGAGGGGCCCCCCCGACGAGCGATGGCAAACACAGCCGAAACCAGCCCCGGAGGAGGCCGGCGCGCCCCGCTCGCTCTGCCTGCGCCCCCCGCCCCCATCCGCCGGCGTCCCCGGGGCCCCCGAGGCTCGGGAAGGGGGCTCGGCTTCGCGTGCCCGCGCCCCTGCCCCGGACCACAGCCACCGACAGCTCCGGCGTGCAGCTCTGCCCTCCGCCAGGCGTGCCGCCGAGCAACTTTGTGACTTAAAAAAATAGCTTGTTAGCGAGGAATAAAAAAAAAAAAAAAAAAAAGTGTTCCTTTGAACACCGCTCTGCAAAAAGAACGTGTGAGGAAAAACACCCCGTTGGAACAGGCTGCCAATTTATGCGCCTGCAGACGCCGGGATGTCTTCCTGGGGAATCAGGGCAGGCAGGGGGAGGTGGGTCCCGGGTGTGCTCTGCAGGCTGCGCCCCCCAACCCCTGACCCTAACCCCGCGGGCGCTCGCACACCACGCTTGTGCAAGGCACTCGCATCCATTCGGTTCCTTCTGGCACGTCCAGCCGCTTCAGGGTTAAGGCGGCGGAAAACGCAGACCCCTCGTCCGCAGGGCGCCGAGGGGGCCAGGCTGTCTCAGGAGGGGTGTTTTGGGGCGGCTGGGGGACGATTAGGCTGGCGACGAGTGTGCTGTTTGCTTTCTTCTTGTGTCGTGCGGTTAACACTGGTGTGCAGGCGGTGACGGATCTCGCCACACGCCGGTGGCCTGTGTCCAGCACCCGATGCAGGGACAGGCTGAGCGGGAGGAGAGGAGACGGGAAGAATACCGCAGGCCCATTTTCAAGACAGGGAACACTGTGGGAGGCAAAGAGGAAACGTTTGCAGAGCCTCCCTTCCTGCCCGTCACCCGTGGAAACGCACTCGTGAGGGTGTCGGTGCAGCCGGGCAGAGAGATGCTCTTGTGAGATCAGGTGCGTGTGTAGAAGGCCGCGAGGTCCCCGGTGTCCCACAGCGGCACACACACACGTACACACCCCCGGTGGTGCAAGTCCGAGAGACCAGCCCCACGTACACACCCCCGGTGGTGCAAGTCCGACACACCAGCCCCACGTACACACCCCCGGTGGTGCAAGTCCGACACACCAGCCCCACGTACACACCCCCGGTGGTGCAAGTCTGACACACCAGCCCCACGTACACACCCCCGGTGGTGCAAGTCCGAGACACCAGCCCCCTCGGTAACGCGGTGCACGGATATTTCCCTTAAGTGTGTCTGAAGCAGCTTCGTGCCCCAGGTAGCGGGTGAAATAAGGGGGCAGGCACGGGCCCCAAAGCCTGGCGAGCGCACTTCCGAACGCGGGGCCCCGGAATGGCTCCCTCCCGGCAGGAAAGGCCAGCGGAGCTTTCCGCGTCCGCATCCCACACACAGCACGTGAATCAGGATCCAAAATTATACCCAACACATACACTGCGGGCAGTCAGCGGGGAGAGGGAAGGCACCGGCGTGAGGGGCGTGATTCTCGGGGTGAGCCTCCGGGGAGGGGAGATTGGGACGGAGACGGGGGGTGGGGGGGCCCTGGTCACTCCCGGGGCACGTCCTGGAGGGTCGTGAAAACAGTTACGATGAAAACGGTGGGAAATTACATAAGTCCCACCATCCAGGGTTTTTCCCATGTGGCCGGGCCCGCTTGTCATTCGAACCCCACGCACAGCCGCCGGTGGTGTTTACTTCTGCTGATGTGTCTGCCGCGCGCACGCTCTGCCTCCCCTGGGCTACTTTTCCTCACACGCAGTTTCGATGGCAATAGAGCGATGTTTATTCAATTTCCCAGAGAACGCGTCCCCCTCAGTTAGACACCAGCCGCATGCACTGGGGCCGTGTGAGCCGCGAGTTAAAGGTCGCTGCTTAATTGTCATTAACACGTGTGCTGACAGGTCCATTGCAAAGCGACGAGACGTAGGTTCCAGAGGTGAGCTTGCGGGGCACACGTAGGTCGACAGCGGACGGGGGCTCCTGGTCCGGGAGAGTAACACACAGACCCCCAAATAGGCCAGCAATACACAGACCCCCAAATACACAGACCCCCAGATAGCCCAGCAATACACAGACCCCCAAATACACAGACCCCCAAATGGGCCAGCAATACACAGGCCCCCCAAATAGGCCAGCAATACACAGACCCCCAAATACGCAGACCCCCAAATAGCCCAGCAGTACACAGACTCCCAAATACACAGACCCCCAAAATACACAGCCCCCCAAATAGCCCAGTAATGCACAGACCCCCAAATAAACAGACCCCCAAATAGCCCGGTAATGCACAGACCCCCAAATACACAGACCCCCAAATAGGCCAGCAATACACAGACCCCCAAAATACACAGACCCCCAAATACACAGACCCCCAAATAGCCCAGCNATAGGCCAGCAATACACAGACCCCCAAAATACACAGACCCCCAAATACACAGACCCCCAAATAGCCCAGCAATACACAGACTCCCAAATACACAGACCCCCAAAATACACAGCTCCCCAAATAGCCCAGTAATGCACAGACTCCCAAAATACACAGACCCCCAAATAGGCCAGCAATATACAGACCCCCCAAATACACAGCCCCAAACAGCCAAGTAATGCACAGACCCCCAAATAAACAGACCCCCAAATAGCCCAGTAATGCACAGACCCCCAAATACACAGACCCCCAAAATACATAGGCCCCCAAAATACACAGGCCCCCAAATAGGCCAGCAATAGACAGACCTCCCAAATACACAGACCCCCAAATAGCCCAGCAATACACAGACCCCCAAAATACATAGGCCCCCAAAATACACAGGCCCCCAAATAGGCCAGCAATAGACAGACCCCCCAAATACACAAACCCCCAAATAGCCCAGCAATACACAGGCCCCCAAAATACACAGACCCCCAAATAGCCCAGTAATGCACAGACCCCCAAATAGTCCAGTAATTCACAGACCCCTCAAATACACAGATCCCCAAATAGCCTAGCAATACACAGACCCCCAAAATACATAGGCCCCCAAATAGCCCAGCAATACACAGACCCCCAAATAGCCCAGTAATGCACAGACCCCCAAAGAACCCAGCAGTATACAGACCCCCAAAATACACAGATCCCAAAATACACAGATCCCCAAATAGCCCAGCAGTACACAGGCCCCCCAAATACACAGACCCCCAAAGAGCCTAGGGTGGAACCGGAAGCTGTGGGCAGAATGCATCACAAGAACGCACCTTCCCCAATGGTGACCTTCTCGACCTTTGTCCTGGGAAGAGGCATTTCCAACGCCCCCATTTCCGGTACAGAAACCCAAGGTCACACCGCAGGAAGGGGCAGGCCGGTCACTGGAAGTGACACATCCACCCTGGGAGCTTGACCCACGAGACCTCCGTCTGCGCCCGGGTCCGGTCACGCCCATCGGGGCCCATTCAGCTCGGTGGGCTCTACGAGTGAGGGTCCACGCCCTGTCTCTCGCCTCCTTAATTTTCCACGGGCGACCGCACCGAGCGGAGCGTGTCCCCGCGGAGGGAAAAATCACGGGGTTTCTTATCAATAACGACGACGCCTCGTATTTCACGGTGAGGGGCTGAGCCCGTGGGAGGTGAAAACGATATGATTTATATCGCGCTTCGAACTCTGCCTGTGATGATTATCCCGATGCTGCAGAAGGGAAACGGGGCCGTCGAGACGAAGGTTATGTAACTTTCCCAAGATGGCAAGGAGATCCGTCAGCAAGTGTCTGCACGCTGTTAACTCGGGGGCACGCGCGCGTGTGTGTGTGAGTGTGTAAATACAATCCCAGACCAATCGCCTTTCCATTCCCCAAAGTTTTAAATTCTCTATGTATTTCCAGCTGCTGCTTCGGGTCGAGGCATATCATTTCCCTTTTGATTTTCTTCTGTCTGCATCGCAAAGCAGCTGCTCACTACATATTTCTAGGAGAGCGTGCACATACTCTCCTTTCCGTTGAAAAAACAACAAAAACGAGCCAGCTCTGGTTCTACGTCTTCATTAATCTGGAAAACCAGCATGCAGAGGGGAAGACCGGATTCGAGAGTGGGCCCGGATCCGGGAAGCCGTCGCCTTTGACCCCGGAGCAAGGAAATCGTTAATTTTGGTTTTTTTAAATGTTTTATTTATTTCTGAGAGAGAGAGAGAGAGAGAGAGACAGCGTGAGCAGGGGAGGGTCAGAGAGAGAGGGAGACACAGAATCCAAAGCAGCTCCAGGCTCCAAGCTCTCAGCACAGAGCCCGACGCGGGGCCCGAACCCACGAACCGTGAGATCGTGACCTGAGCCGAAGTCGGATGCTCAAACGACTGAGCCCCCCGGGCGCCCCTGGAAGTTGTTAATTTTGGAACAACATTGTGACATGCATTATGTCTCGTGTATCTTACGTGCTTTGTACCTAGGTCATACGTACCGTCATTCGTACAACACGCTCATATTTGAACCCGAGAATGCGCTTGCGAGCCCTGAGTGGCTTGGACGTTGCGTCCTGTACAGTTTGACAAATCTGCGCCGAAACCCTTTCATGAGTCTCCGGAAGGTCCCCAAATGGGGCAACGAGGGGCTCCTGGGATCCTCAGCTTTTTTTTTTTTTTTTTAAGAATAATTAACAGAAGTAAGTGAATTGGGTCTGTTTAGAAACGTGAGGTCGAGGGGCACCTGGGTGACTTAGTCGGTTAA